GCGGGAGAGGCCCTTCTCCGGGAACCCTCCGTGAAGGAAATTAGGAGGGTAGGTACTCGGAGGAGGGCTTTCTCTGCGGTGGTGCCCAATCTATGGAATACGCTCCCCAGAGAGGTCCGCCTGGCGCCATCGTTATTTGTTTTTCGGCGCCAGGCAAAGACCTTTTTATTCGAACGTCATTTTAATTGCTAATATTATTTGCTTATTTTATTCCAACTTATTTTATATTGTTAATTCGTTTTGTATTTTTAGTGTATTATAGTTTAATTGATGTTTTGTGAGCCGCCCCGAGGCTTCGGCGAATGGGGCGGCATAGAAATTTTCTAAATAAATAATAATTAGGCAGTCAGATTAAAAAATATTATGAGAGCTCAAGATTTATTAAAAATACAAGTTTGTTTTAAAATGCCTGAATGAATATAATTATTCTCACCCAACACAAAAAAGAAGGTTTTCTACATACTCCTCTGAGGCTATTCCATACAGCCTAAAGCAAAACTCTATTGTCCTAACTAGAAGAAGAAAATTTATTAGTTGAGAAGCTGGAACATTTTCTGGAAAACTACAGAAAATACTTCATGTATATTGTTTCTAAAGAGGGTTCTCTCAACGTTTTGAGCTACGCTTTTATTTTAAAATGGTTCAGTCACCTTGGAATGTGCGCACTACTCAACTGCTTGCTTCCTGCAAACTCACACATCTGGGTTACTTGAAAACTGACTCACTTCTTCCAAACCAAAATACAAGTCCTGCTAAAAACAGTGGAAAAATTTGTACTGTTTCCTCCGTAATGTGACTCTTTGTCTATACCAAGCAAAGCTGTACCATCTTAAATATCTTCCTCTGGCATTTGCGCTTTATAAGACAAAAATTGTGAATATTTTTACTTACAATCATTAGTTGCTTTAAGCGCCACTCAAGGTACAAAATAACTATATCTAACAAATGTAATAAGTACAAGGGAAACCATATGCAACAAATTTAGAACTATAAACAGTAAATGAGCACCCCTCACTTTTATCTGACAAAAATCAAATTTTAGCATTAAACCGTTAACAAATGGGGGAGAAGCTATTAAATCCAGCTTCTCCACAGATGGCTGCATCTTCTCAACAAGTCAAAACTTGTTACTTGGGCCACACCGAATTTACCAGAAATGGCTCTTAATTGTAAAGTAAAACAGAGAAACTCATGATAGTTGGGAACTGAAAATGATTAATTGACAGAATGTTTTTTTTCCATATAAAGTTTACAATACTTACTGGCTATGTACCAATTTAAACAATATATTTTAATGGTAGAAGCTATCAAAGGGAAGACATCATAATACCCTAAGTATGCTAATTACTCTTGTTGTGCTTTTACCTATGGTAACACAATAAAATATTATCACTTGTATGCTACATTTTACTAGTCTATGACCAGTAAAAAGTGTAGTGTGTGCAAAATATGGCAATCAGATTAATAACAGGCACCAGAAAGTCTGAGCATACACATTAATTCTGGCCCCTTGCATTGGCTGTCCATATGCTTCTGAGCCCAATTCAAGGAGCCCAGTTCTAACATTAGAAAGCCCTATATGGCTTAGGACCACGTAATGCTTTTTCCAACCACAATCTCCCTGGACGCTACAATCAAGATCAGGAGCTTGTCTGGACTACCATCTCCAAGGGAGGCTAGGATGGTGGCAACAAGAAGAGCATTTTCAGTGCTACACACACACACACACACACACACACACACACCCATG